CCCCAAAACCCCAAAACCCCAAAACCCCAAGAGATCATATAAAAACATCTAGTTGGTATTTTTAATCTAAAAATTTAAATTTACAAGCTTTCACACTATAATAAATAATCAAACATCCTCATTAGTTTTTTACTTTTCTATATGACTCAGAAACTTTGAATCATTACTCGCAAATAAGGACTCTTTATTCAAATAATGAAAAGCAACTTCAGGTAATTTAATCACTAACTCATCCATCTCAAACTTTTAGAATTCTTAATCATCCATTTGACTAGAAATGTTTTAAATATCCTCAATAACAGTTTTAATTTTTCCACTTAGCATTGAAGAATCATCATATTCCTCCATGAAGTTATTTTCTCTATGGGTATTTGCTCCATCTATTCTAACCTTTTAAGCACTTTCCATAAGTTGGCCATGCAGCCTTTGCAATAAAGTCTTATTTTCTGTTTAATCAATCAACTCTTCTTAGAAGTCTTTTAATTTTCTTTAAAACACTCCTCTCATAAGATTTTTTTCAATCATTTTAAGCTTCTATCCCTCAAAAGACTTCATCATTTTCTTTAATTTGCCATATATGACTAATCTTATCAGTGGATTTTTATTTTCCATCAGAGTTAGTGTATCTAGATTATCATCGTCAGAATCTGATGACTCAGAAGCTGTCTCTAACACATTTTATCTCTAAAATCTTAAGAGCATTCTATGCTTTTAAGATAACAATGCCTAGGCTAGTAATTTAAATTTCCTTTGAGTTTTAAGTAGAGATATGATATCTAGCTCTTAACTTAACTTTTTTTCTCCTTTTTAGTAAAGATAATGTTTCTTATAGTATCTCTTATTCCTTTTTCTTTCAAGATTCTTTAAACACAAGCATTTACTAAGGTACTAGATTATAGACTTGATGTCGTAATTGAATCTCATTCTTGAAATGAATGATATAAGCAGATTATTTACATCTATATCATTAACCTACCTCTTTTTCTTAAATATTTAAGCATTAAGCTATTCTCTTTCTTTAATATCATGCTCATCTTATAATTCTAAATTAACTTTTTCAGCATCGATCAACTTAGTGTTCAATCTTTTCAAACTAACTTTTTTCTTATATTAATGTTTAATTTAAGTTGGACTCAGATATGATGGATCAATAACTTACTAGTCTTTTATAAAAGGTCTTTCAGAATTTAAAGGAATATCTTACTCAATGGTTATTATTTTTATTCCGCCTTCTTCTTTGTTTAAATCATTTGACTTTCTCTAGGTAACTTAATCCTCCGTGTATTCCTTTTATTACAGTGAGGTATTTGTATTATTACTCATGGTCTTTTAGTGAGGGTTTCTAATTTGATTTTTAAATTTAGTATTTGGTTTAACTTGTTCAAAGTCACTAATTTCAGGTTCTAAAATGTATTTCCTTACTTGATATATTTTCTTCATTATATCACTCAAAAACATTCTTGAAGAGATGAAACCAACAAATACAAATCCTATACCGACTAAAGCCCCATACAGTCCTCCGATATCTCCTAGAAGTTCTAGAATAGAATAGATTTTTCTTGAATAAACATCATATCTGTTGTCAAATCTCAGGTAAACAGATACTATATATCCTTCATCTGGTCTGTATTAATTATCATAGAATCTTTAATTGCTGACTTAATGAAAACTAATTGATTCAGACTAGCCGAATTAAATCAAATCATCTTCAAGTTCTGCTTCTTGTGACTGAATATAGAAGTTTGTTTTCTTTACTCTAGAGGACTCAACTTCAAAGAATAATTAATCATCTATAAATGGTCTTATCTAACCACCGCTTTCAAAATTAGTGAGATCAAAATAGTTGTTAATAAAGGCAAAATTGAAAGTTTCATAGTCTAAGTACTTGTTAATGGTAGTTTAATTGTAGCATTTCAATTAAGGAGTGTCCTTACATTTCCATAGCTTTATTTCCAGATATTCAAAGTTGTCAGAATAGTAATTTCCTTAGAATTAATAGTCAGTGTCTGTTAAGCACAAATAATTTGATATTCCTTTCGAAACAACTTCACTTTCATCTGGAAAATCAAAGTTTTCTGCTAAACACTTTTAAAATTTCAAATCTCTGAATGTCTTTTTCTTAATATTCTTGCCTGAACTATCTTTTTGTTCTGTTTCATAGACTCCATATTGCCTTATTGTGAAATGGCCTATGCGAGGATCGAGATCCTTATTGAGTCCAAAAGCAAAGTCAAACCCAGTTTCTTAAGGTTTAAATATCTCACCCAAAGTCATATCTCTTATTAAGGATACTTTTGATACTTCTGGGTTATATCTACTGAATAAGTATATCGACTTGAAAATTGAGAAGCCTAGTAATATCAAGACAAGCACAAATGAAACAGAGGCCCCAAGCATAGTTTTATAAGAATCTTCACCTTTGTAAGTAAGTTAAATAGTTTATCCAAACCAATCAAATGCTTTGAAATCATCACTCATCTTTTAGCACTTGCTTTTTGTTGGTTTTTAATTCACAAGTCTCTAGATAAAATGATAAAGTTTCTTTAAAAGGAATATACTTTAGGCTTTTAGTTTTACTGCATTATTTATCAGAGCTGCTGTACTCACTGAAGCTGATAATTTACTCTTTAATTAAATAATTATATAGTACTTTTAATTCATCAGTCGATTTCGATTTTAACATTTTCAAACAGAAATAACTTGTTTTTATTAATATAATTTGAATCAAAGCATCAACTCTAAATCAATATTCTTGGGGTTTTGGGGTTTTGGGGAGATCGG